AATCACATAGAATGGTGGGGGGGGGGGCTGCCATCCTCTCTCCCTCCCCGCCCAGCACAGGAAAGGCAATCACAAGTTGATTAGTGTGAATTATTCATTAATCTCATCCTGCCTGTCACTCTGCATGCCAAGGCAGGGCTCCAATACCATCCCACAGGGTGGGGGTCCTGGAGGGGCCTGAGGTCATGGGTTGGAGGTCAGCCTCTGGTCTCCTGCTTGAGCTGCAGAGCTCAACCCATCCAGGGATCATTAACAGCAGAGGCAGAATTTGCACCCAATGCCAGCTGGATGGGTCGCCTCTCCCGTTGCCTTCTTTCCTGGCTGCAGGGCTGGAAAGTGCCCCTCCCCTGGAACAACCAAGCCTGATCAAAAGAGAGAATTGAGGAGGCCTGAGATTTTGGTGGGAGGGCCCCCTCCCCCGGGAACAGCCAGGGGTCTCTTGCAACTTCAATCTTCCATCTGCAAAATGGCCAGGGATTGCAAAGCCCATAAACCCTCTGCAGGATCCAAGCTGCAGAGTTCAGCCGACTGGCCTGGGGGCTGCTGCCACTGCTTCCCCTCCCCCCATGCAGACACCCCCACTCCAGCTGGCCTGGAGCATGGGAGGGGTCCTGGCTGCCAAACAAGAATGAAATCCTTAGCAGTAGCCATGGAAACCAGGTTCCTCCCCCCTGAATCCTGTGGAAATCAGACAAGGTGCTCCAAATGTATTCCTTTCCTCCCCCTCCCCCCCCACTTTTTCCCATCCAGCTTGGAAGGGAACCAGAATCCGCTGCCAGCCCTCCTTTGGGGGCTTCCCTGCAGGCAGGCAGGCAGGCTGGTGGGGGGGGGGACACAGGGAGATGGTCCTTGACCCCCAAAGAGCTACCCAAGTTAGTGTAATCAAGCGAGGGCTGAAACAGATGTTGAACCCTGTGCTGATGCCCCCCCCCCTAAAAAAATCCAAAAATAAAGCCTTACTGTTTTTGACTTTCCCCACTTGAGAGATGCTGACCCAAAAAGAATCCTCCTCTGGACTGGAGGAAAGAGAACATTTGAGGAAAAAAAAATGCATTTGGACAATTTCCCCCTCTGCAGTGCAGGTTCTTCCCCTGAAGATTGCCTCTCTCTCTCTGCTGATGCCCAGGGAGCCTGTCAAAGCTCCCGGCTGCCCCAATCCTATCCCGTGATCCACGATTTATTCCTCCTTGTTCTCATTCAGAGTCCAAATCCTTCCACTCTGGGGCAGTTCTTCTTCTTCTTCTTTCTTTTTGAAAAACAAGCACATTTTTGGTAACTGTCCAGCAGGGCTGGGCTGGCTGTTTTCTGGCTGTCAGTATGGGGCTGGGGGTGGCCCCACATGGAATGTATTTAGAGTTGTGCCTGTGTGTGTGTGTGTGTGTGTGTGTGTGTGTGTGTGTGTGTGTGCGCACCCACACGCACTTTTCTTCCTTTTGTTGTTAATTGCGAAGTCGGGTCCGACCCATCGTGACCCCATGGACAACGTTCCTGTCCTCTACCATCTTCTGGAGTCCATTGAAGCTCACGCCTACTGCTTCAGTGACTCCATCCAGCCATCTCATTCTCTGTCGTCCCCTTCTTCTCTTGCCCTCCATCTTTCCCAGCATCAGGCCCTTCTCCAGGGAGTCCTTCCTTCTCATGAGGTGGCCAAAGTAGTTGAGTTTCAACTTCAGGATCTTCCTGGTGTTGGTGTTTTGTTTTTTCTTTTGCTGGGTTCCCTTTTTGAAAAGGACCCAGATAAACGGGGAAAAGGGGGTGAGCCCCAACCACCTCGGGTGTTGTTTTGAAAAGAAAAATGAAACAAAAGTGGCACGGGGGTGGGGATTGTGACAAAGTGTGCACAGCAGGGCTGTTTGAAAAATAAAAATGGAGTTTGCAAGCCCAAGACTCACTCCCTGCCCCAAGGACAGGGGGAAATTGGGCCACTTTAAGCAATCTTCCTTGGAGGGCAGGGGGTGCTCAAGGTTTCCTTTGACTTGGGGGGGCATGGAAGAGGGCTAGGACCTTTGCTGAAATGGAGGTCTTCTCCAGGGGGGTTGGAAAGAATGAAGAGAAGTGGTGGTAAACAGGGGTGGAATGGGGGGAGGGGGAGAAGAGCCTCCCCCGGAGTGTGCCAGGTCTTCTCTCCAGAGTTCTCTTTGCTCAGGATTCATGCCAGGGGATCATCCGCTTTCCGGCATGCCCTTCATGCCCTCCCTTAAGAAGCAGCTTTCTACCATGCCGGGTGGCTGCAGGGCCGGCTTTCCTTCAACCCGGGCGGGAAGAAGAAACCTTGCCCTGTCCAAAGCATTCACACATTCACAGCCTTTCCCCCTTCAGCAGCGAAGGGAACGTGTTTTGTGGACTGCTGGAATTCTAGGAGTTGGAAGTCCACACATCTCAAAGTTGCCGAGGTTGAGGAACGCCGGACCGTACGGTCCTGCAGCCAGAACTTTTGGTGGCCCCAAAGCCCCCATGGTAAAAAAGCAAAACAAGAAACAAAGCCCCCTCGCTTCAAAAAGTAGCCCCTGAGAATCGAAAAGCAAACAACGTACTGGATCGTCTGAAAATCAGAACGATGGGTGAGAAGAACCTTTAGCAGATGGTGTCTTCTAAGCTGAAACAGCTTCCAAGAAAGTCCGTCCTGTCCTGCTTGCAGAAGACGGGTTCGTGTGGGAGAAAGTTGAACTCCCAGGTATGGTAGCTCCACAGCACAGGGGTCTTCACGGAGAGGCCCCTCTTCGAGACTTCAGAACATCTCCATGACCTCTGGGATGTCCATATTGGCCAGTGGGCTCTCCAGGAGAAGATAGTCCTGGAGGGACCACGCCATGTAAGACTTTCTGGGTCCAAGGAAGCCCTTTAAGTTACACCCAGGAGCCTAATTTATAATCAAGTGTTATTAACCTGAGGTTCTATTAGCCTAAGCAACTCCATCTCTGCCCTCAACTTTCTCCAGTCCATCCTTACAAAGGATTTTGGTCCCCTCTGCCAGAAACCGGCCTTCGAAAGCTGAGAACATGGGAAAAACACTGGAGATTAATCCATCAATATTTGCTGTTCTGAACAAGCTGTTAGCATTTCTCCAGTACTTAACCTTTATTATATTATTTGTGTGTGTGGGGGGGGGGCTTGAGCTTGTTTTCTTGCTGGTTCTACTGCTTCCTGGAACCCAGCCCTGGACTCCAGATCTTGTGGTTTGTGTAGCAAGGGCTTAGAGAAGACTTTCTTAAGCTGGTAAAGAATTCCACATTGGTACATTAGGAACAAATGCACAGGAGGTGGTTAGGAATTACTTTTGTTTGCAGAAAATGACTACACTGCACAAATTCACTTGTGCTCTAGAGAATGAGAAGTCACTTGTTTTCCAGCCTCAGAATATCAGTTAGAAGGGACCTTGGAGGTCTTCTAGTCCAATCCCTTACTCAAGGAGGAGACCCTAGACCATTCCAGACGATTAGCTGTCCAGTCTCTTCTTAAAAACCTCCAGTGATGGAGCACTGAGAGATATTTTTTCCCATATATAGTTCCCTGGTGGTGGATTGTTAGGTGGTTAATGCACTTGGCTGTGGGCCTGCCACCTTTAATAAATATTGCACACTGTTTAAGTTGGACATCCCTGGCTGAAATCCCCCAGGAAGCGTTTGAAGCATCTGAATTGTCTTCTTCACAGAGTCAGCACCATCCCTACAGCCACTGGAAAAGCTGCTGGCAAAGAGGAGGACCAGGCTTTGACTCCGGAGAGGAACTGTTGGGGAGCTAAGATGTCTTGGCAAGGGGTGAAGCCTGCTTTTGCCTGATGCACGGTTAGATGTTGATGGGAAACCAACAAAATCAGCTGATGCCCATCTTGGCAACCAAGCCTGCATTCCAAGTGCGTTGGCGGAATCATTCAAGCAGCTGTGGAAGACAATTGTCTGCCTATTTTCAGAAGATGCAGAGGCCAACCATTTGCAGTCAAGAACTAGAGCCAAAAAGGGGGGAAAAAAATTATGGATCATAGCAGCAATTTTTAAATCTAAGAATAGTTTGGAGCTTCGGGATGATGTGATTCACGCTGCCCTCGCATAAGCCAGCTGGGTCACTCCAGCCGCTAGAAGATGAGTTCAAGATGTGGTGACTTCCAGCCCCACAGCCACCCACCCTCCTCTGCCCACAGCTGGTTGCTTGGTAGGCCCCAAAAGCCATTTTGGGGGAGTGGGAGGTGGGAGGAACAGGGAAGAGATCCCAGAATTTAGCCCAAGCTTTTTGGGTGAACCTGATCCCCGATCTCTCTTAGACGAAGCATGTTTCACAGCAAGAAAAGTTGCAAAGCATTGTTTGCAGCAAGAAAAGATTTCACGCACAGAGAACGGGGTGAGGTGCAGGGAGCAGAAGAGCAGCGGGCAACTCCATCATTTGAAAATGTGCAGACCTCAACTCCCAGAATTCCCAGCCAGCCAGCCAGCCAGGGCGGGAAGAAACAGATTGCAGAGTGTGGCCCATTTATTCCACCACCTCTGCTAGATCAGCTAGGCAGAGTTTCTCAACCGTGGCAACTTGAAGCTGTGTGGACTTCAACTCCCAGAATTCCCCAGCCAGCTACAGCCAGCGAATTCTGGGAGCTGAAGCCCGCACAGCTTCAAGTTGCCCTGGTTGAGAAACTCTGCTCTAATGACTGTTTAGGAGCCTAACCTGGGTTCAACGCGAAGGAAGAAGCTGCCACATTCTCTCGCTACACAACTTTTTATCCTACTCTTTCCGCCTTCACACTTCTCTTTTCTACCTTGGTGGCAAAAACAGCTTTGCCGGTTAGAAGGCGTGCTTGTCTTCCCTATGTGGGAATGAGACCTTGTGACTGGCAGCAAGTAAGAATGAGAAGCCACCCAGGACTGGTTGCGCCAGCTCCGCTCAGCTGCTGGCCAAACGGGCGACTTGCCCAATTGCAATTATTAACTTTCTGTTAATATGGGCCAATTCTCTCTCTGGCTCTTGTATTCCTCCTCCTGGGGGGTGGGGGTGGGAGGGCTACACAGGGGACGGAAAGGCCAATTTTCCTTTTAATCAACACTGAAGTTACAGACCCGGCTCAGGCTGGGATAGCATGAAACGGTATTTCAGAGCCAACAGTGGGGGGACAATCAGCACTGGATGCCCCCCTCCCCCAATCCAGAAACACAACCAGGTGTTGCTTGACGGATCCAGAACCCGGCGAAGAGTCCAAAGGAAAATCCTAAAAGGGTGCTTTTGGGGAAGGAGCGGGCAAAGACGGTGGCGCTTTTGAAAAAGAGAACATCGGTCACACGAGTGACATTGAGTTGAACAGGACAATTTTCAAAAGTGCAAATTATTTCGGCTCAGACCGAGGCGAAGACCCCCTTTTCCCTCTCCCCACAATCCAAGAGACATCGGGAGCGTTCTTCCTCGTAGACATTTCGCTGTGACCTCGCAAGGCCTCTCAAAACGTCAGATAAAGGCATTTGCCATGGGGCAGGTGGGGGGGGGAGCCTAGGATGGGGGGTCTTTGGGAATGGCCGCAGCCCCACAGCAGCCCTGCCCAGCTCAGCCCCGCTCTGCAGCCGAGCATCCAGCCTGCTCCTTGGGCTTCCTTAACCAGAGTAAGAGCACCTTGTTAATATTTTCCTGGGGGTGTTTCTGAAAAGGATCCGTCAGATCTCCTCCGTGTCTTGCCAAACAGCCACTCGAAAAATGGGAAACCGTCACAAACACAGCAGGATTTTCTTTTCTTTTTTTTCTTCTTTTCTCCTTCCTTCCAGGCTGTTTTTGGCCAGACTTGCAAAACTGGGGAGAGGATCCCGAAACCCGAAGAGGAAGCTGGACTTCGAATCTCCTTCGTCCTTTAGGTCCCAGATTTTTTCCGGCCGAGTTTTGCCCGCCGAGGCTTTAGGATGGTGTAGTTCATATACTTCGTGTGTTGGTCGGAGAGGAAAGGAATGTAGAAAGCCCGGAACAACTGGGAGGACCTAGAAGAAGACAAGAAGGTTTAAACATCGATCCCTTCCAGCTGGGGAATTCTGGGAGTTGAAGTCCACAAGTCTTAAAGTGGCCAAGGTTGGAGAGCTGGCCTTCAGGTGCCTCCAAGTGACAGGGAAGGTGATGGAATAGCTGGGAAGAAATCACGGGAGCCGTATTTCGACGGAACGGAAATTTAATTCCATCAGTGCTGCTTGCTTTGGCTCTGCCCTGTGACTCATTCTACAGAGTCCCCACGTGCACCTCACCCAGGAAGGCCATCCCTTGTCCCGCCATCCAAGTCTGGGGGTCCACTCTGGCCCAAAGAAGGGGAGATGGCTTTGGGGGAGTTTGCCCAGCAGTTTGGTGGAAGCTGGCCAGGGGATTGAGGTGCAAGAGGGCTTGGAAGCACGGGGGGGGGGAAAGGAAAACTGAATGGGGGGGGCAGACTGGAGCGCCAGGCATCAGGGGGCCCAGACGGAGCTACAAGCTGGGCACCGTAATTAGCCGATGGCTCTGAGTGTTCTCTAATTCAATTAAAGGAGCCTTTATCCCAGCCGAGCGAGAGTTGCCTTTGTGGCTCTCGATGACGTCAGCCAGAGACTCGGCTGTCCCAGAAGCTCCCGGTTCAGCCAGCAGGAATCGAGTGGGCGGAGGGATCCGCTCCCCCCCCCCAGGAGGAGCTGAGCAGCCCTTGCCAGAAGGACAAAGGGCCACACTGAGGAGTTGGGGGAGCATTCACCCTTTCTGCATATTCCTCTGACCCCTCCCTCCCTGCCTGCCTATTTCTCTTCCTTTCTTTCCCTTCCTTCATCTGAGTTTCCTTCCTTCCTTCCTTCTCTTATCTTCCTTCCTTCCTTCTTTCCTTTCTTCCTCTCTCTCTCTCTTCCTTCCTTCCTTCCTTCCTTCCTTCCTTCCTTCCTAGCAGCAGGCGATCAATGCCATCGGCCCCTCTGAGGCAAGGACGGGTGAGGCAAAGACTGAGCTCTCTTGCTACAGGTTTTCCCCCTGGGGGGGGGGGAATTCGACCGGCTGTTCCAGTCTTCCTCCCAAGGGACAGCCTTTAGCAACCTCCCTTCCCTGGGGGAATTCTCACCCTGCCTCTTCCCGTCTCCACCCCCTCGTCCCGCAATTAGCCTTCCTTCTGAGAGAAGCCGTTCCCCAGCAGCTGTGCTTTTGCCTCTCCTCTCCCAAGAGTGGGGAACCCAGACGCAGGCCGCTTCGGGAAAGGCTGCTGCCCCCACCCCCGTCTGGGTGGGAGAGGAGAGGAAGGGGCTGCCACTCCGAGCCACCCTCTCCTTCCTCTTTGACCCCCCCCCCGTCACAGATGGCTGGCAGTTCCTCTATTTCCCTGAGCAAGGGGGGAAAGACAACTAAAGAGGCATGCAAGTTCACAGAATCACAGGGTTAAAAGGGACCTTGGAGGTCTTCCAGCCCACCCCCTAGCCTGGATGAGAAGGGGTGGGGTGGGGTGAACTTCAGCCCCTAGAAACGTATTTGACAGGGGTGGGGGGGGAGGCTGAAGCACTGATGACTCACAGCCTGGATCTCTTACTGGGAGACCAACCCTTCGTGGCCCAAAGTGGTAGCTGCTCTGACACGACACCATCCAATCCCCCCCCCCCCGGGCTGGCATCCGAGGCGCTTCCCAAGGAGTCGCGGGGTCTCCCGCACCGCCAGCATGCCTTGGCTGTGGCCTCTTACCTTAAACTATCCAGGAAAGGCTTGTAAGCGATCGTGACCCACTCCTCCTTGTTAGCCGTGTACCTGGGCTCCCGGGGAGCCTCGTCGGGGCTGTCGAGATCCACCAGGTAGTGGCATTTGGAAAGGTCAAACTGTGGGAGAAAAGGGCACTGATGACGTGAGGCTCTCTCCGCTCCAGGCAGGCTCCTGCCCGGGCAGGAGGAAGCAGGGCAGCTGGGCCCAGCCAGGCAAGAGGAACAGCTGCAAGACTGTCTTCTTGCAGACGTTTCCTGACCCAACTAGGTAACATCATCAGTGTTAGAAGGAATGTTTGAAGAGAGGAGGAGGAGGAGGAAGACGACATCTGTGGGGTCCTTGGTACTCTCTGAGCTTTGTTGTTTTCTTGCAGATGTTTCCTGACCCAACTAGGTAACATCATCAGTTTTAGAAGTGAGAGGGGTTTGTGGGGAGGAAGGGAGGTTTGTGGGGTCCTTGGTGCTCCTGAGCTTGGTCATTTTCTTGCAGACATTTCACGACCCAACTAGGTGACATCATCAGCGCTAGAAACGTCACCCGAAGAATGAATTAAACTGAAGAAGCTTCTTGGATGAGAAGTGAAACATTTTCAAACAAACATAAAAAAAACACAAGAAAGTCCAGTTACCTTTTGGAAAAAACACCCTTGGGGTAGAAACAGCATCTTTCTAGCACTGATGATGTTGCCTAGTTGGGCAATGAAATGTCTGCAAGAAAACCACCAAGCGCAGAGAGCGCCAAGGACCCCACAGTTCAATCCTGAACTACGAATAGCCTCTTCTGTTGACACAGCTGGAAGGCTCTGGTGCAGCTGGGGAGACTTTCAGCAGCTGCTTTTCAGGAATCCCTGCAGAAAAGCAGCCCTGCTCCAGGGAGGGAGGAGGCTCAAGAAACTGCTGGGTTTTCTTTCTCATCACAGAAAACGGTCAAGGTGAAAGGAAGAGACTGCTTTTCTTTAAAGCAAAAGCGAACACGCTGCAGAAGCTCCACTTCTGCAACAGTCATAGTCCCCCAACCAACTGAGCAACAACTTCCCAATTTAAAAAGAATGTGAGTTGAGAGGTTAATAAGAAAACAAAGTTAGAGAAAAAAAACTGAAGGAGAGACTGAGCCATTTCTCAGGAACCGGTTCCCACAGCAGGCAGGAAGTCACATTCGGCGATCCAGGTTCCCTGCAGGAACCGAGAGGCCACTGGTCAGACTGAGCAACAGAACAACAGAGTTGGAAGGGAGCTTGGAGGTCTTCTACTCCAACCCCCTGCTCATCAGGCAGGAAACCCTATACGGATGGCTGTCCAATCTCTTCTTTAAAATTTCCAGTCTCAAGAGCATTCACAACTTCTGGAAGCAAGTTGTTGGCCCCATTTTTGCAGAGGGGGGAGGGAGCGACGTGTGGCGAGAGACAGGCCTAGGTTAAAAGAAGGCGGTCCCACTTACGTATCTGGAAGGTTCCTCTTTGTTTCGATCGTTCATGTCCATGGGAATGAGGCGGGTGGCCCCCGGGCCCTTGGCAAATGGCTTGGGCAACTGGCCCCGGAATTCGGAGGCGATGAACTGAAGCTGCCAGCTGCGGGAAGAAGGGGAACAAGAGGCTTTTAAAGGGCGTTCCGGGGCTTTTAGTGAGCAAACTGTCAAGGTTCCAACTGAACAACTCAACCAAGTAAACACCCGCGAGGCTTTCCGAACTCTTAACGTAAAACTTTATGGAGTACATCGGCAAGCATGCAAGCAAAACCAGCTCTGGCGGAACCCTACTCAATCCCACATAGTAAAAGCATAGAATTGCCCCCCCCCCCCTCCTTCTTGGTCAGGTCACGTTGCCCAATTAGGAGGAAAAATATTGCTATGAGAAAGTGTCTCTGGGTCTGGCCAGACACCTGGCGAATTGTCCTTGGTTCTCACGGTTTGCTTTCTTGATCTTTTGACGGCTGCATTCCGATCCCTTTCCTGCCCCCCCCCAAGTTCACTGGCAAGCTGAGAAGCAATAATGTGCTTTGAACTTGACGCAAGCACCAGATGGAGGCAGACAGAGGTGTTGATGGGGAAGGACAGGCGGGCAACGAGGCCCTAAGAAGGCACCCCGGCAGCAAAGATGGGGATTCCTACGTAAAAGGCCCATCCTGATCCTCTCTGCTTTTGCTCTTTCTCAGAAATGAAACTTTTAATGTCGGCTTCTCCCTTTCCACCCGCCAATGTCTTTCTGATGGTTTTGAGTTTGCAATTTTTAAAATCATAAAACCAGCTAGGGTTTTAATCCTGATGATCAGTAGACAAATTCTTTGAAGGAGTAAATCATTGACTTATCCACGGGGAAAGGAATGGAGAAGGAAGGGAAAGTTCTCTGGGAGAATTGAAAGGAAGAAGCCTTGCCTGATGTCTCCACCTTTTTTTTCCCAAAAAAGCACTGGGCAAAAAAAGTCAAAATGGAGGCAATAATGGTGCCACTGAAACTCTGTCTGGTTTTATGAGGGATCGAGGCAAATCAGAGTTTTTTGAAAAAGGAGCAAAGCCTGAAAAAGTAGTGAGATGGCTCATCTCTCAGTTGTTGTTGTTAATTGCGAAGTCGTGTCCAACCCATCGCGACCCCATGGACAACGTTCCTCCAGGTCTTCCTGTTCTCTACCATCTTCTGGAGTCCATTTAAGTTCACACCTACTGCTTCAGTGACTCCATCCAGCCATCTCATTCTCTGTCGTCCCCTTCTTCTATTGCCCTCAATCTTTCCCAGCATTAGGCCCTTCTCCAGTGAATCCTTCCTTCTCATTAGGTGGCCAAAGTATTTGAGTTTCAACTTCAGGATCTGGCCTTCTAAAGAGCAGTCGGGGTTGATCTCTTCTAGGACTGACCGGTTTGAACGCCTTGCAGTCCAAGGGACTCGCAGGAGTCTTCTCCAGCACCATAGTTCAAAGGCCTCAATTCTTTGTCGCTCAGCCTTTCTTATGGTCCAACTTTCACAGCCATACATTGCAACTGGGAAAACCATGGCCTGGACTATACGCACTTTTGTTGGCAGGGTGATGTCTCTGCTTTTTAGTATGCTGTCTAGATTTGCCATAGCTTTCCTCCCCAGGAGCAAGCGTCTTTTAATTTCTTGGCTGCAGTCCCCATCTGAGGTGATCTTGGAGCCCAGAAAAATAAAATCTGTCACTACCTCCATTTCTTCCCCATCTACTTGCCAGGAATTGAGAGGGCCGGATGCCATGATTTTGGTTTTCTTCATCTCTCAGTGAGGCCAACCATTTGGTTGAAATGATCTAGGCAGGGTCTCCTGCTTGAGCAGAGGGGGTTGAACTAGAAGACCTCCAAAATCCCTTCCAACTCGGTTATTCTGTTATTTTGAAGCTTTCTGTCTCCCAGGGCTTTATGGCCCAGGCCAGGTTTGTTTACTGCTGGCATGAGGGGTGCCCCTGTGCCCCCCAGACAGGAAACAGGCTCCATTTTGACCCAGGAACTTACTTCTCTGGGAGGACGAAGCTGCTGGGAAACCGGTACCACTCCTTCCCGACACAGACGTGGACCGGCCTGCCTTCGGGCACGGTGTGGATTGTGGGGTCTGTGGCAATTCTGTGGAACTCTGGATAAAGGTCCAGAGGCCCGTGGTAACCTGGGCAGCAAAAACAGCAAATGGGGGGAAAAAAGAGGAGAAAAGTCAGCCAAAATTAGCAACCCTTTGAAAATTAGCCAGTGTCCCCTTCAAATGTTTCCCCAGCCAGATGTGTTCAGGCGGCAAGTCTCAGAATTCTCCAAAGGCTGAGAAGTCTGGTGAGATACTATCACAACATCTGGGGAAGAGCAGACTGTGTGTCCTCACTCAGGTTTTTCTCCTTTTAAGATGGGTGGACTTCAACTTCCAGAATTCACCAGCCAGAAGTCTGAAGCCACTGCTCAAACTTGTGGGCTAGGGGATTCTGGGAGTTGAAGTCCAGCAACTTCAGATGACCAAGGCTGTTTATCTATGATAAGACCCCCCCCCCAAATTATAGACACAATATAGCTTGGAAATTTTGGGGGAGTCAGGTTCCTCCCTGCCCCCTAGAGCCTATAGGGCAGTGTTTCTCAACCTTGACCATTTTAAGGCATGTGGACTTCAACTCTCAGAATTCTGGGAGTTGAAGTCCACATGCCTTAAAATGGTCAAGGTTGAGAAACACTGCTATAGGGAGTCAAGACTCAGAAAGCCACATTAGACAAACTCCTAGTCAATCATCATTGCTGAATGATGGATCAATGCCTAACACACACACACACACCGAAGCCTGACTGTAATCTGGTAGATCGTTGCAGGGGATAAGGGTGGGGCACGGGGACGGTGAGCCGATCCCTGCAGAAAATCTACTGGTTAAAGAACGGGGCTCCCTCCTCGTCTTGCCTAAACCAACCTCTGAATAAAGCCACCGAACGGGAGAAGGAGAGCAGGCCGAAGACCAGGACGGTGCCCAGGGCCAGCCAGTTGGAGGAGACGGTGTAATGCTCCAGGCGATACCGTTGGAAGATAAAGTGGTAGCATTTCTGGAGGAGGGGAGAGAAAACATGAGTGCCGTTTGCGTTTGGAAAGGAGGAGGGTGAGCAACAGTACGAATGAAGATGTCCGAGGCCCATGGAAGATCTACCAAGACAGCAGCAATTGCAAGCAGTCCCTGACTTACAAAGTTACATCATTGGAAAAAAGGGATTTATGACCATTTTCCAGATTACGACCGTTGCAGCATTCCCCATGATCATGTGATCAAAATTCAGACGCTTGGTAATTAGCTCATATTTATGACCGTTGCAATGTCCCGGGGGACACGTGATCCCCTTTTGCGACTTTCTGACAAGCAAAGTCAATGGGGAAGCCGGATTCACTTAACAACTGTGGCAAGAACAGTTGTAAAATGGGGCAAAACTTACTTTATTCTGCTCCTGGCAGCTTCATAAAAGATGGGGGGGTTGTCTCAGCCCCCCTGGTTTCAAAACTGAAGTCCACAAGTCTTAAAGTTGCCAAGTTAGGAGCCTCTTGCTCAAAAGTAATCCCCCCCCAGAGAAACCCTCCATCCCTCCTCTCTTGCCCCCTGCCCCACATTGCTCCTGCCCCCAAAACACACCTGGAGGGCTGAGAGCCCCACTGCTCCACAGAGACAAATCAGGGGGTAGATGGGGTACAGAAACCTCTCCTCTTTGTGGGGCTGGCTGAAGAAAATCAGGATCCAGACGTACATGGGCGAAAGCGTCAGCCAGTACGGGCGGCCGAGGTTTTGGACTGGAAGAAGGGACAGACCGGAAGAGGATCAGTGGCAGAAAGAACAAGGAAGTAGAAGCTATTCTTCCTGGGACCAGAACTGCTGTCCAAACCAATATTTCTCAACCTCAAAGACTTCAAGAGGCGTGGCTGGGGATTTCTGGGAGTTGAAGTCCATACCTCTTGAAGTCCCTGAGATTGAGAAACACTGATCTAAGTAAAATGTGGGCACTGATAGTCACTGGTTGCCATGAATTATATTAACCTAGTTAATATAATTTGGATCTTGTTTCTCTTAAGGACTCTGAAACAGCTTGACCAGGGAGGCTGTGACTGATCAAAGGGAGTCCCTGTCTTGATAGTCTGCCAGAGGTCCCCATGCTTCCTTTCACACATCTATCCATCCATCCATCCATCCATCCATCCATCCATCCAAATGCATCCCCCCCAAATGTGACTGATCAAAAGAGCACAAAAAGGCCTTCAACATTGAGGCAGGGGTTTTGGGTTCGAGAGGGGCTGTTCCAGCCCTTCAGAAGTATCTCAGGAGGTTCAAAATGCTTTTTGGAAGGAGGGGACGGCCTCTTTCCTGAACCAGGAAGTTGAAGAAGGTCTTCTGCGCTTGGAAGGCTTGGTCAGAGCAGGCCACCCAAGCTGGAGATGCTTCATCTTTGGAGGCAGTGACAGATCCTGGGTGAGTCTGCCTGGGGACTCTCTCCACTACCCAGCTGGTGAGGTCTACGGGGCTCACCACGAAACTTCTGCAGGAGGCTCTCCATCAGGCAGGTTAATGGCAAGGCCAGCAAGGCCAGGACGAAGGCCACGTTGAAGTTCAGGAAGCCATTGATGAAGTAGAAGGACCAGGGCTCTGTGCCTGCAGGAAGAAGGGAGAAAAAGGTCAGGCACTCCCTGGAGGATCTATCCCAGCCAGGAGTGTGTGTGTGTGTGTGAGAGAGAGAGAGGGGGGGGAGAGGGAGAGAGAGAGAGAGGGAGGGAGAGAGAGAGAGAGAGAGAGAGAGAGAGAGAGAGAGAGAGAGAGAGGGAGAGAAGGAGGGGTGATCATTTTTTGTAACCACAGCTGACTTCCAATGGGGAAATAAAGCCTGGTGCCAGAGCCAAAAACCCGGGGAGGGGAAAGGAAGACCATGTGACCAGCCCACCAGCATCCCAAAACATTTTCTCCTGCCTGGAGATAGACTCACCGTAAAGATCTGGCCCATGTGGGGTGAAGACGTTGTACAAGATGATGTTCAGAGGGGCTACCACCAGCTTCCCGTAGTGGTAGCTATCGATGGCCACCATGGGCACCTTCGTTGAGAAAGAAACCACCATTCAGAACGTTGTCCTGCACTTTGGACCATGTTGTGCCAGCACTTGGATTCCCCAGTTTGGAAAACGCAGGATTTAGCTTAGTGAAGGGTGTGCTGTCCTCAGGTGATGCAGAAGCCCACCAAAAGCAGGGTGGAGAGGGGCTCCCTTCTCACCCCACACTGTCTGCTGCACCACAACTTGGGAGACTCACCAGAAACACCAGCAGAGACACCAAAGACCACTGCAGGAAGCTCTTCCACCGTCTTTTCAGGACCAGCAAGTCGAAGGCAATTGGGAGGCTGCCCAACAGAAGACCGGGGGATGGATTAGTGAAGGCGCAGGAAACTATTTTAGCTCAACGTAATACCTAATAGCCCAGTCAAAGAATTACCAACTCAGACAAACAATCAAACAGTAACCAACAGCCTACTCAAGGAAGCACCAAGGTGATTCCCACCAACACAGACAGAGCCAGCCACCAGTACATATATGGAGCAAACCCTACTTCCTTCTAGTACTGATGTTACCTAGTTGGGTTATGCAGTGTCTGTAAGAAAGCAGCCAAGCTCCAGAGAGCACCAAGGACTCCCCAGTCCTCTTCTTACTTCTCCTCCACTCCAAACCCTCCTCCCTTCTAGCACTGATGATGTTACCTAGTTAGGTAAAGAAACATCTGCAAGAAAACAACCAAGCTCAGACAGCACCAAGGACCCCACAATTCTCCTCCTCTTCTATTTTCTCTTCTCCTCCACTCAACACACCCTACTCTCTTTCAGCACTGCTGATACTACCTAGTTAGAAAGATGGTATTTGGGAAGCCTCCTCCCATCCCAGTTCCCAAATTTTCAACCCTGGCAACTTTCAGATGGGGGGGACTTCAATTCCCAGAATTCCCCAGACAGCACAGCTGAAGTCCACCCCACCTTAAAGTCATCAGGGTTGAGAAACACGGTCTCTGGGTGCTGCTGTTCACGGCCTGCCATATTTGTACTCAGGGTTAAATTGCAGGGTCCTTGGTGCTGAGGTTTTCTTGTAGACGTTTCAAGACCCAGCTAGGTAACATCATCAGTGTCAGAAGGGAGTGGGGTTTGCACTGAGGATGTTGACCACCTTAAAGTCACCGCCCAAGGTTGAGAAACACGGTCTCTGGATGCTGCTGTTCACGGCCTGCCATCCTGAACATTTCTTTTCTTTTTTTTAATTAAAAAGTTTTATTAATAATTACATAATAAACCCAATAACCCACCCCCCTACTTCCCGGAACCAAATACAGGGTATATCAAACATATTAAACATAATCTAATTAAGTTAACAAATATATTAATCATACGCTAAACAAGTTTAACAATTTATACAACAATTAATATCATACTTAACCCTTAACTCCCTTTAAACCTTATTATTAATAATACTTATTTTTTTAATCATAAAATAAATGGAACTTTTCAGTTCCATATTTAATCTGAATATAATCTATCCATCTTCTCCATACCATAATATATCTTTCTTGTGTATGATCCTTTAAATAAGCAGAAATTTTAGCCATTTCTGCCAAATTGGACACCTTAAATATCCATTCTTCTAATGTAGGCAACGAATCTTTCTTCCAATATTGGCCTATCAATAACCTTGCTGCTGTAATTAAATTCAACATTAAAACAGTTTCTTTAACATCAAAATCCTCAAAAATCCCTAATAAGAATAGTTGAGGAGTAAACTTTATCTTCCTTTTAAAAATATTTTGAATGTTCCACCAAATCATAATCCAAAAGGCCTTAATATTTTTATACCAAATATGAAAATAAGTTGCATCAGAACTACCACATCTCCAACATTTGGGCTGTAAATTAGGATACATACAAGATAACATTTCATCATCTCTCCTTCTGACTCCCACTTACCCAAGGGCTGCACTGAACGGCCAGCCCACAATGGCTCCCGCGGCCACGCCCAGGACCGCCAAGGAGGTTCGGTCCATGTACCAGCCTGTCATTGCTACGATGGTACAATACATGCAGAAGCTGCTGGGAAGGAAGGCTGAAAAGAAGAAGAGGCAGGAGAGAGAGACTGGCATCTGGAAAGCCACCAGGGCACATCTGCCATAACGGGATAGGACCCTCTGAGGATGGAGGCCAGTGCACTCCAAGAGCAGGCAACCCAAAAGAGGGATTTTACTGAGCACACAATTCTGTGTGCTAAAGAAGCCTTTTCACGACGCAACTGGACTTTCTTGGGCTTGTTTTTTTTTTTAAGACGTCTCGCTTCTCAACAGAGGGGGAGGGATACGATACCACCTATCTTCAGTCTACAGTCCTTTCAACAGTTCCAAGAAGGCTCCCCACACACTATTCAGATGACCCTGAGGACACAGATAAACCTCCAAGTGGCCTCAACGACTCTCTGAAAGAAGGCAAATGACCAGCTGGTCTGCAAGGAGTATAAATCCTTCCATTCCCCACCATCCAGTCAGAGCTGAAGAAGCTTCTTGGACAAGAAGGGAAACTTCTTCAAAGAAAAAACAACAAAGCCCAGTTGCCTCGTGAAAAAAGCATCTTAGGGATAACTGTGACCTGATGACGGAGAATCTCCATAGATAAATCTGTGTGCAAACAGTGGGCTTCAAGAATTAGGGCGCCATCTTTCCCTTCTCGAATCTGCAGAGAATCAGCGGCTGTCGGTACCTCTCCCTCGGTCTTCAAAACCAAAGGCCCCTCAACATTTCCTTACAGATGGTCTTCAACTTATGGCTAGTCCTCACATTCCTGACTGCTGCAACTTCCCCATGATTGCAATCCAGGGGTTTGTCAACTGGCTCACCATGATAATCGCTGCAGGGTCCCGGGGTCACGTGATCGCCATTTGCAACCTTACTAGCCAGCCTCCGAATAAGTGAAGTCAACGGGGGAAGCAGCAGGGAAGATTACAAATCACAATTGTGTGATGTCTCGCTTAGCGACTGCAGTGATTCACTTAATGGCCATGGCAAAAAAGGTTGTAAAACTGGGTGCGATCTCGCAATGCCTTGCTTAATGATTGTACTGCTTAACAAAGAATGTTCCAGCCCCGGTTAGGTGATCGTAAGTTGAAAACTAGATGCACTTAATGAAACGGCAAAATTGGTCTCTGCCCGACTCCTTTCTTCACTTACCTGGGGCTGAACAGAACATTCCGGTACTAAGTATCAAGAAAGCCAGCATAAGTCTGCTCACGTGAAGCCCAAATTTCTTGCACACAGCCCTGGGAAACAGAGAAGACAATCGGAGCCTGTTTGAGGTGGGGCCAAGCACTTAAGGATGGCTTACCTAACTGAGATCTGCCAGCCTTGGAAAAGGCAGGCCACGCATTCTGTACAAGCAGCTATATTTGTAGCTCAGTGATAAAGCAGGCCTGCTGCCTGTGGAAGACTCCAGAGGGGAGGTGAAACGGAGTAAAAGTGAGCAAAATATCCCAGTGATCTAAAACCAAGCTAAGCTAGCCCTAAAGTAAGGGGCTGCCACAGAGAAGGGGGGGGGGTCAACTTATTTTCCAAAGCACCTGAAAGTAGGACAAGGAAAATATGGATGGAAACTAATCAAGGAGAGAAGAAACCTGGAATTAAGGAGAAACTTAATTAAACTTAATTAGCACAATTAACCAGTGGAACGGCTTGCCCTCAGACTTTGTGGGTGTTCCATCACTGGAGATTTTTAAGAAGAGACTGGACAGTCGTTTGTCCGAAATGGTATAGGGTCTCCTACTTGAACAGGGGGTTGGACTAGAACGCCTTCAAGGTCCTTTACAACTCTGTGATTCTGTTTTGTTCTGTTCAAACTGCTTCTGAAGCACTTGCTATCTTGAGCCCTTAACTCCTTCCCTAAAATTCTCGCTGGGCATCAGCTTCAAAGCAGCAGAGAAACAATATTGTATGGGATAGCAGTTATGGCTGTACCCAATTCTTCTAATATTGCAATGCATTTTTTTTAAATGGTATTCTACCATTTAACACCCTGGATAAAACAATACAGAAACCTACAGTTTTTAACAATTTTAATTGATTCAGGCTTTCAGTGTGGCTGAGAAGACATGGCTATCTTAAAACACACCCAAGAGTTTTGTCACCACAGTCAAGAATATATGTAGATCAAGCTGAACTACTGTGTATTCTCTGAATCTTGGGATTTTTCCGGCAGACGTCTCATTACCCGGCCAGATCACATCATCAGTGCATGGGGGAATGGAGTTCACTGGCTGTTTTGCCAACAAATTCTGCTCCTTCAGATATGGATGATGTGACCTAGCCTGGTAATGAAACGTCTGCAGGAAGCCCATCAAGATCGGAGAATCCTAGGAACCAACATTTTTGCTGCAGTACTTTGCTTTAACCGTTACACAGCAGATTGAGAAATGCACCTCTAACAGCCACACAGTGCACAAAGATAACCAAGGAGGCCCTCGGCGATACTCACTTATAAAAATAAAGCTCGCAAACACAACTCAGGAAGGCCAAAAGGCAGCGCAGGAAGTAGAAGATGAGGACCTAGGAAGAACAGCTCCTGTTACATAGCTTCTAGGAACAGACGGCGGTTCTGTTCACACAACATGCAGAGTGATAAACTTGCCAGGTTTTTTTTTTTCCAATTTGATCCAGTTTGCCATTCAATATGTCAGGTTGACTAAATCATGATTCGATGAGACCTGGGTTTGTCATGTCACAGAAGAGCAGAACTGCAGGCCTCAGAGCTGCCTGCCTGCCTCCCTCCCTCCCACATGAGCCTTTCCCCCCAGCCTGGGCATGGCGGAGTTGCCAATAAAACCACAACCTGGCAGCCACAACCTCCCCAAAGAGGAAAAGCACAGAGGCCTACAACACACAATGTAAAAAAAGAGGAAAGAGCTCTACCTGCTGGCCAAGAACAGCAAGAGGAGAAGGAATCTCAGAGAGAGGAGACTCAAGACGGGAGGTTTAAGAAAGAAATGTTAATGCACACAACTAGTCCTCGCTTAGCGACCATTCAAAATTACAATGGACATTGAAAAGGGATTTATAACCTGCATTTTGGGTGCTCAGTAATTTGTCCCCCATTATGACCATTTGCAGCATCCTGGGGTCATGTGACTGTGATTTGGGTTTTCCAGGAAACAAGCATTTACTTCCGCTTTCTGGCTGAAAACGCCCCATAGTGGACAATGGTTTTGCTTAATGACCTTCCCATTTGCTTTACGATCAGCCATGTTCACTTAACCACCACCAAACGAAGTCATAAAATCAAGTGCAGTCACGTGATCTTCCTTACGCCTGTCACAACTTACAACCAAAATTGTGGGCTTAATTATGCTTGTAAGTCAAGGACTACTTTTATTAATAATAATACAGAGCATAATATGTACAGTAATAGAGTATAGAATACTGAATAGTGATGGTATAGAGCATAGTAATTGCCTTAGTAGTAATAACATAGTAATAACAGAAAGATAGCAATAGAACTGAATAAAAGAAACACCAACAAAAAAAATTATTTGTTTGTTTCAACTACCTATCCAGGATCCGGTGCTTTCATGTCTCTTGAATCTGGATCAATCTAACTGAAAAAGAACCCATATGATACATAGACCTTTGAACTGGACTGAAGTCAGCCTTCTGCAGATTTGAACCCTCCAAAGACCAAACTAGAGATAGCTTTCATTTAACCCTGCTCTGTTTCTGTTTCCTAAGTAAAATGTCATAAAAAGCATCTGAGCTGCTCTTAAAACAGGCTTGGAAACCAAGAGAACAAAAAATAAAAAAATAAAGGAGAAAAAATAGTCCCTTTAGTAAACTGAATGGAAATGTCATTCCACCCCATTCCAAAGATGAAGCCAATGTGGCCGTGTTACCTTGTTTGTTTGGAGAACTCTAGCATGGAACAGGGCTGGCAGAGCATGGAGCCACAGGTACGCATAGGAGCGAATGGCATAAACAGGTGAATATTCCCACGTCTGGAATCCTTTGCCATAGACGAGGTAGTGCATCTATAAAAGAAACACATCACAAAAGATGTCCAACGTTGTGCTTTCTACAACATGTAGGCATACAAGGAAGAATACTAAGCACTCAGCCAGTACCTGTCAAAGTGCCTATGAGATCAATCATCCAAGATGTCCCCCCCCCCGAAATGCAACTGAACTTTCTTGTTTTGTTTTTTTTCTTTGAAAACATTTCGCTTCTCATCCAAGAACTGAAGAAGCTTCTTGGATGAGATGTGAAACATTTTCAAAGAAAAACAAAACCCCATAAAGTCCAGTCACCTTTTGGACAAGCACCCTTGGGATACCTGTCAAAGTCATCAAGAAGGAAATGGAGGCATTTGGTACCCTGATATTGCCCTAAGAAACTAATCTCTACAGGATGCCTGACCTCATTTCAAAGGGTTCAGCTGAGGCTTTTAAATTCAGCAAGTGATTAAAGAGGCTGATGAACCATTCACTCTTCTGCAAGCTAATAAGACACTCACAGGTTCCCAGTAATTAAAGGTTTCATCACAGTCGGAAATGTTACTTAGCAGAGCTGCGCAGAACCTGGCTGAGATTAAACACTTGAAAGCCGTTGATCCTTCAGGAGCCCAGACATGACCTGCTTTGGTTCCCGAGGACCTAAGAGAAAAGCAAAGCGGTTGTTATTAACCGTGTAAATGGAGGATGGAAAGCAAGGAGAGAAATGACAGGAGGAAAAGGGTGTTGCTTGCACAGCTACTCTGGCTTTCGGATACAATGGAGCATTCAGAAAGGCCGATGAGAGAATCGGAGGGCCATATTGGGGCATTTAAGGCATACAAGGACAATCATGGGATGAAAATGCTCTCTTGGACCCAAACCTCATTTATTCTTTACTTAAATGCCTATGGAGAGCTTATTTTAAATCAGGGGTCTCCAAAGTTGGTGTCTAAGACTGGTGGACTTCAACTCCCAGAGTTCCCCAGCCAGCCATACTCCAGATATCTCCATCATGCTGGCTGGGGAATTCTGGGAGTTGACGTGCACAAGTCTCAGAAAGTTGCCAAGTTTGGAGAGCCCTGTTTCAAATTGATAAAATATTACCTGCATCAATGTTTAAAACTGGCCTGATCTATCAAGACCAAATCCTCGCCTTGTAGGAGAACTTGGTTAAAGGGACCTATTAAAGTATTTTTACAAAATTATGATTACTGGATGGGAGAAGTTTTACGTTACCTTTCCTGTTGCTGATGTGGCTATTAGGACGGACACCCTAAGGCTTGCCACTGCATGGATTAGATTTGAATTAAAGAGGCGCAAGCCCATTTCTTCTCCCTCCCTCACCCCAAATGGGGGGGGTTCCTCCTTTCTGTCACTACCTCTCCTCCCCCCCCCATTTGCCCCTCCAGGTTAGCCCATAATTCTCTCGTCCCATTAACAACACACGAAAGGGCCCTCCCTTTCCAAAGCCTGGACCCCCAGCCGGGGGGGGGGGCTGGACTACAACTCCCATCACTCCTCAGTATCGTCAATCTTCTGATAGACGGTTGAAGATCCTGGGGGTTGATGGGAATTGTAGTCTAGCCCCCCCCCCCCCGGAGGACCCGATGCAGCAGAAACCAGGCCACCCTTCCTCGCTCTCGGCCCCTACTCTCTGCTCTCCTCGGCAGCCGGCGGCGGCCCCTCGTCTCGGTGCCGGGCAGGCGCCGCCGAATCCCCGCCGCCCCACCGAGGTCGCTGCCGGGCCCCCTTGGCAGCCATGCCGAGTGTGGGCAGGCGGCCGGGCTCGTGGCGCTCAATGCAGGGACGCGGCGCCGGCCGCCGCCATCTTCAGTGTGGGCACAGCGCAGGCGCGGTTCCTTTTTCTCCCACGTCCGCTCCTGCGGCGGGCTGGCGCTGCGCTTTTTGTGGAGCGACGCGTGGAAAAGCACGAAGTCGCCAAAGGCGGGGCAGTAGGGCCTAGTGGGAAGAGCTCCAATCTCATTTGCGTGCTGAACGTTCCCTCCGTCCCCTAAAGTAAACTGCCTTCCCCAAGATTGGTTTTCTCCACTGCTGCACCCTATTTATTGCAGGGCAAAGAATGTTACTGCTGCAAGGTTTTATCTAGGTTATGCTTTTTTTTAATGCAGCAGTGCTGCTTGGTTAAACAAACAAACAAACAAACAAATAGATATCAAACAAACAAAATCTGCTCTTCGGGAAAATTTTTGTCCTTTATTTTATTTAAATTCCAGCTTTGTTTTTTTTATAAATAACTCAAGGCGGCGATCACATACAACTCCTCTCCCTCCTCCTCTTGCCAACACCGACCCTGCCAAGCAGGTCCTCCTACCTAACAACCACCCGGAGGCAACGCTGCAGTTCTTCCCTAAGCTCCATCTGCATGGCAGCCGCCTGGGGGCCACCGAGCGCTTTGTCGCAAGACTGGTAAGTGAGTCTGTAGCAGAGGCTGGTCTGTGTCGCCCCCGGGTACTGAAAACGGTCAAGCAGCTGGATAGACACAACTGTGTCCAGAGACACACGCCTGGCGATGATATGGAACTGGATTTCATGGAATGTTTCTGCATCTGGAACCCAGAAGCTGATGTCGTGCACGTAGGATGGTGGGTAGAGGGAAAAGTTCTGGAAAACGCCTAAATGGCCCCCCAAAAACTGGTTTGCAAAACGCTCGTCCGAAGTCCAGAGCATCCGCCAGTCAGAAATGCCACATACGCACATCGCCAGAAGATCGAGGTTCAAAGAAATGCAAACAATGTTTTGATTAAGGCTTGAAAGTTGCCACGGAATGGTACTTATTGTCCCGACATGAAACTCCTTTGGGCCAGAATAAAAATCCTGGCAGCTTACGGTCACAGCGTATTTTGGGTTGTGTAGAAATGGTTCTGAAGAAGATAGAAAAGTATTCTGTTGACTGTTTTCTGGCTCTTGGTTCAGAGAGTCCAACTTAACATCCGATGATCGGAGTAAAGAGTTTAATGTATCTACGAGACTTTCAGTCAGGAGCTGTGCATCTTCTACATCTTCCTTAACTGCACAGACGAAGATGGCCTCGTGAAAAATAGGAGGATCATGAACAGAAATTTTACATTTTCTAAAAGCCAGTCCACTGAGGGCCAACAAAGTCTGAGGAGAAAAGTCTCTCTGCTTTATAATAGAATGGAGAAAAACCAACAGGGAAGGTCGAAGGTAATATTGTCCCAAGGTCCAACTCAAATCATCATCCTCATCAGTTCCTGTGTCACTTTTAGAAGCCACAGATTTAATTTCGGGGTGATTTTTGGCAACAGGAACCATCCAAAAGGCATCTGATGAAGGAGAAGCAGAACGGTCTTTGAATACCAAGGGAAATGAAGAATTCACCTTCTGAACTGTGAAGGATCTGCCGAGGTGGTCAATTAGTTTTTCATTTATAGTTCTCACAGGATGCTTTGAATTAATATCTAAGTAGTTCCTAATTCAGATTATAAAAATATTAGGAAAAAAGTATTAAACAAGGCAAGCCACTAACCTCAAATGTTTTATCTTCAAAAAAAGCAAATTATTGATGGAGCAGTAAATGTGAAAGAATGTTACGATTTTTAGCCTATTTGTTAGCGTTATCTTAGTTTCTCAGATGTCAATACAAAAGGCATCTGGACATTAAAGGAAATGTAGACATCCCCCCCCCCCTTAAGTGTTCCATTTAAAAGCACACTCATCAGCCAAGGGATTGATTACATTATGCAGAGATCAGACTCAAAGGTTCTGGAAATTCTGCCGCATACCTCTTTATCTTATCTAGGAATATCTGTGGAATTTCGCAGGACATGAGTTTGCCTTCCAGCTCCGCTTTGCAAATCAAAGGTTGAGAATGCAAAAATGGCACACTCCGGGTGAATACGTGATTCACAGCGCCTTCCATGTGGAAAGATTTATCCTGATTCCTACAAAGAAAGCAGAGAAGTTTGGAGGCAAATAAAGTCAATGCCTTTCATTTGTACAATTAGCTGAACCAACTGAAAGCAAATTAAGATGGAATCCAAAATCCAGAAGGCAAATGTTGGGTTGGCTGAAACACCAGGCAAGATTCATGCTGAAAGATGTCAACAGTTAGAAGAACAATCTTTGTGAGACAAAAGAGCGTAGTTCCACATATACAGAAAGAATTCAGTTAAGGAAGGCTGTATAGATCTGATTATTCCCAAAATTTGTATAGGATTTTACTGGAAATTTATTCTGTTCCTTCAATAAACTTGCTCCCACAAAGGCCTGAAAACCAACAGGGTCATAAATCTTTTTTGCTACAGGTAATAGAAATTTAAATATGAGACATATAAGTTTTATAAGAAATAAATCCTGTATGTGCAGTTGTCATCCACAGAATTTGCATGATGCTTCCCAAAAGAGATACGTAGGAGCATTTGGTAATAAGGCACTTTCTCGGGCAACAGCCAAGATGGCACCTGGATAGGATCAAGCACACCTTACCTGTAGCCGGTACATTTATATCCACCAACGTCTTTGATATTAAATGGCTCAATGCCACTCAAGATAAATCCTGCTTCTGCTGCCATCGCCACAACTTGCCAGCTGTTGTGCCACTCACGCACTGGCTGGTCTGCAAGGGTTCCTCCTTGTCCTCTGCAAAGTGCCACATGGATGTCTCCTTTCTCTGCCAAAACATCTGCACAGCTGGAACAAATAAAAAAGAGGGGTAACATTGCCTTGCAGCTAATGTAGCAAGTTGTCAGGTTTTTTTAGTTGTTTTCAAGAAATCTATTATATTGTTTTTAATAATTACAGGGAAGTGAAAAATGTGAAAAGTGTTCTTGAAGAGGAAAAATGAATAATTTTGAAGCTAACCTCACTTCACTTCTGTTTTTTTCAGAACTTTTTTTTAAGGAAAAGAAAAACAACTCCAGAGTAGTCTTTTCAAGAGACTTCTGAAACATTGTTTTGCACAAAAATCTTTGCTACTGGAGGTGGATGAAATAGTTGCATACAGGGATACCAACATCAAGAACCAAAGCCACAGACATCCTCAATTGATATTTCCTTTGCCCATACAATCCTGTAGCTCTTTGCACAAAGCTCTTAAGAGTAACAAAGATATGCCTGTTGGGAGGATCAAAATGTAGCTCTAACATCTCAACATTTGTATCTTAAGGTTTCTATGGTAGTTCAAAACAAAGGCACACACACACACATATGTAACAGGACAAAGTACACAGCCTTGCTTTGTCTCACCTGCAGAAAAACTTAGCAAGAAGTTCCCTGTTCTTTTTTATTCCAGCCTTTTTTCCACAATGGGGGAAATTAAAATAAATACGGTCAAAATTCCTCATAGCTGGCAAGAAGTATTCCTTCAGTTTTGTGCAGTTGACAGAAAAGTAGATTTCAGCACCTGAATAATAATGCAGAATTTAATAGTTGAATTTTTCCAGGTGAACAAAATATAAGGATAACAAAAGTGCAATGAAAATACTTCCCCCCACATCCATACACATCATTTACCTTTGTCTCTCAGAAATTGTACATTGGATTTAGTGAAAGCTTGTTCAGATACAGACTCTTCACTACCATAGCAGGTTGCAATAATATGAGTATCACAGCCTCTTTCTTTGTACAAATGGACCGAGAAGGAAAAGTTTCCTTCCCCAACCAGTAGGAAATGTGCTTGTTGATGCTGCATGGAGACAAATGGTCACTGTCAACAGCCAGAGTCTGGATTGTAGAAGACTTCAGGGGACTCTGCTCCTTTAGTCTGTTGCTCCTGAGGTAATCACCTGAATCATTTTTGAAAGAGGAAACAAGGAGATGCAAGCTCCGAAATTCATCAAATCCCTCATTCTATAGCAGAGAAGCAACCAAGCATCACTCATGGTCAGCCAGCATGGCTCACAGCAAGCAAGCTGGGGAGCTGTGCCCCAAAAGTTGCAGGAAGGGCTCCTCCTGGATGTGAAACATCTTGGGTCTCTGCCAAGACTACCTCCAGGGATGCTACAGGAATGAAACCAAGGAGGTAAAAACAGTCTAGGTTGCTTTTGCACAAGAAGCAATAGGTGGATACAAGAAGCAATGGATGGAAGCTGATCAAAGGAAAATCCAACCTGGAAATGAGGAATTTCCTGAGAGCAAGAACAATTAATCAATGGAACAGTTTTGCCTCCCAGAGTTGTGGTCGCTTCATCGCTGGAGGTTTTCAAGAAAAAAATTGGACAATTATTTATGAGGATGAGGCCTTCCGCCTTGAACAGGGGGTTGGACTAGGTGACCTCCTAGGTCCCTTCCAGCCCTGGGAGCCTATGATTTAATTCCGCTGCTTTCTTTCAAAGCACACCCCAGGGGCCAATGTTATATTATGCTATTGCAAATTATTATATTAACATTCTTTTCACTATTACATTCTTGATTCTTTGGGAGAGGAAAGAAAAGGACAGACCCCCCCCTCGCTGGGGATGATGGGTGCGGCAAGACTAGAGGAGCGTCACACCTAGAAGGGGGCGTAAATGGCAGCTAATCCATTTTTATCCCCCCCCCTTCCAAATTCCCTTCTGGCCAACCCTTTTACAAAACAAATTCACGGAAAGGAGGGCGGAAAAAAGGATAAAAATATTGCAAGACTATCCGGAATTTCCCCACTCGCTTCCGCTTCCGCTTCCTCCTCCTCTTTCCCAGCCGGCCCGCTTCCACGGGGGCTCCGAAGCGCGGTCGAGCGTTTTATACGTCACTTCCGGCGCGAGCGTTTCCCTCCCTCTCCCGGCGCGCGGCTTCTGCGATTGCCATAGGAACGGCTCCCCCCTCCCTCCTCCCCCGCCCCTTTCGGGTTTTCCGAGGCTTTCTTGACGGGGCGCCTTCGGCAGGTGGGGGGGGGGCGAATTTATTTCTACTATTACTGCTACTATTAGGCTTATTCTCGTGTGTGTGGGGGGGGTCACTCCTTGGGAAGGGTGAGACGGTAGCCTAGGGGTGTGTATGGAGCCTCCATGTTCAGGAGCTCTCTCTCTCTTCTTTTTTCCTCTCCCCCTCCAAAAAAAGGAAGGAAGGAAAGGAAGGGAGGGAGGGATAGATAGAGAAGGAGTGAGAGGGAAATAAGAAAAAGGAAGGAAGGATAGAGAAAGTGAGGGAAATGAAGAAGGGAGGGAGGGAAAGTAGAAAGAGAAGGAAGGGGATAAGGAGGGGACAAGGAAGGGAGGGAGCGAAGGAAGGAGAGAGAAAGAAAGACTACAGAGGGAGGAAAAATAGGAAGGGAGGAAGGGGAGGGGATCTTAGAGCTGGACAGTACCCCTACAGAGCATTTAGTCCGCCTTTTTCCGAGGAATGGCGGGTGAAATACAGGGTTCTTGACCAAAAGTTCTTCCTCTAAGGTGGAGCTTCTTAAAGCGTGGCCCAAGGGTCCCTGGGGGTTCCCAAGACCCTATCAGTGTCCGCAAAATCAAAACAATTTGCCAGCCTATCCTAAAAAACAATTACAATATGAAAAAAACCCATACACAGTAAATTATAGCAGTACTTTGAGCCACCTTCTGACTGAAGGGAGTGCATTTAATCAGCTATTTGGAGGTGCCCTTGGGACTTCTCTGCCCCCCCCCCCCATCAGCAGGAAGGCAAGAAGGTGGCTGGCCCCATTGCCATCCCTCTCCTGCCCCCCCCCCTTCCCACTCCCTGCCTTTGACCGCTTTACATCAGGGACAAGACTAGATGTCTCTTCGCTCGTGGATGATGGGCAAGAAAAAAGTAACAACATGAAGACACGGCAGAAAAGAGACTGGGACATAGTCATGCCACGCTGGTGGGCAAAGGGGCCAAAGCTCTTAGTGCCCACCTCTCTTGGCAAGATGCAGTTTGGGATAAAAGCCTCTTATCCCAGCTGAGGACAGTGACGTCAGCCCTAGCCCATGATGAGGAGATTACATCACAAACTAAGCAAATTAGGGGTTTTTTGGCTGCCTGCTCCAGGTCCTCATCCCCTTGGCACTTTTAAAAGCCATTGATAGCTTTCACACCCAGGTCACTGAGGTGTTCCATTTTTCTGAGATCTTCCAACTGAGAACGGGAAAACTGGCAAGAAAATGTGGGATTTGGACGAAACCAGTAGTTCCAACATTAGCACTACAACTTCTGATTCTGAGGTATTTCTGGCTGCTGAGCGTCCAGATTTCTCACCGTTCCAGGCTGAAGTGTTGGGAAAATTCCCCTTTTCCTTTTAATTCAAGAAATGTAACAACAGAAATTTTGGGCTCAAGTCAACGACTTACTCGTAGATGCCACTTACCAAGCACCTGAATTTAAATCACGTGGGGTTGTAAATGCGAGGACCAGTCGTACGTCACTTTGGGGGGGGGCGTTGTTGTTAACTTTGAATGTTTGCTGAATGAATGCCTCTAAGTCGAGGGCCACTTGTAAGGGCTCTCTTGATGTGCTCTCTACAACCCTTGGCCTGTTTTTCTCTCTCCTCTCAGGACATGTCCCTGTCGTGCTTCTTTAACCCTCTTCATGGCTGCTTGCTCCACGCAGACGGCCACGGGGAGGTGTGGACAGACTGGAACAGCACATCCAAGTTCTTCCAGTATGGGTGGAGGTGCACCACCAATGAGGACATGTATACCAACAAAACCCTCTTGGGGAACTGGAATGAGGAGCGTTACGATATCCAGAAAAGGAGGCAACTCAAACCTCTTCCTTCCCAGGTCAGACTGCCATCTGAACAGGGTTGAAAAGGGCCATTGCTAATTATCAAGTGCTTTGGGGGCTTTTTATAATTCTTTGCGGGATCCTTGGTGGTCTCTGAGCTTGGTTATTTTCTTACAGACGTTTCATGACCCAGCTAGGGAACACCATTATAAAGGGCATTTTATAATATGCCAATGTCTGAAGCCCAGCCTTCAGGACCCATGTAGGGCCATGTAGGGCAGACAGCAGCTGAGTTCACGCATTGTACCCACCCAACACTTGTTTCAAACCATGGTTTGTTGAATAACTTACCATAAATCATGGTTTTTCAAGCCACCGTAGATGGGGTTCACAGAGGGGGTTCATGCAAAACCCAGAAAATCCACACTTAAAATTTTGTGCTCTGTGAGTTCTGTTTCAGCCTAACCTGCCACGTGATGTGAATAAAAGGTGGAAAAAAAAGGCCATTAGAAGCAGTTCTCTAGGCCCTTTAGGAGACAAGTAGAACTCCAATATAATAAAACAATAGCCCTTGAGATGATATTTAAACATTCCTGGATCTGCACAGCCTCCAGTCTAAACAAAAAGTCACTTCAAGAAATCGAGCATCCTGAAAAACCTTGTAGAGCACATTCTGCCTGTTATTATTGGGTCCTGTTTGCTCTCTTCAGTTCCTGGGTTATTTTCGTGCGCACATTTTTATTTTATTTTTTTTTGGCAGCAAACTACTTGAAACCAGCCAGGCTAAGCTCTGAGTTCAGGAATTTGGATGTTATCTCGTCATACTCCTCATCTTCCGCTATGTTGACTAAAGTTCTGTTGGTCACAGTTTGCTTTGGGGGAGGGGTCAATGCCTTTCCTCTTGAAGGTTGGGCTGGAGGGAATGAAACGGCCTTCTGAATGAAGCGTGCACTGACCCTGGACTTTCCCTTTCAGTACGGTCACTATTTCGAGTCCACGTACGGGTCAGACTATTCCAAGGAAATGCCTCGCAGATTAAGAAGTAGGTGTACAAAACTAAAAGACGCAGCCAGGAGACCCAGGGCTTGTATATATGTATATATTTATTTTCTGAGGTTTTCGCGGGTGTTTGTATGTAGGTCTTTGGTTGTTCGGGTTTTCTCCCGCGTAAAATTGGAAGTGTCTTGACGACGTTTCGACGAAGTCCCATTCGTCATCTTCAGGCTGGTGTTTTCAGCTTCGTGCTTCGAGCAGCTGCTCGAAGCACGAAGCTGAAAACACCAGCCTGAAGATGACGAATGGGACTTCGTCGAAACGTCGCCAAGACACTTCCAATTTTACGCGGGAGAAAACCCGAACAACCAAAGACCTACGTATATATTTATATTTATATCTCCAAAAAGATTTGTAGCAGAAGAGTTGAAATAAGACAGACACAAGCATCGATAGCACGGGAGCCGAGAAGCCCCAGGGGGTCAGATCAGAGACAGTCAATATCGCAAGCCAAGACTCGGGGTGCGGGGGACCTCAGGTGCACCCTGGGACAGTCAGTGAAACACACCCAGGTGTGCAAGGGAGCTGTTGCTCCTCCCTCTTCCCAGCATTTCTTGGTTTGGGGGACTCCAGTTAAGCCCCCTCAGGAGTCCAAATCCCAGGCTGGCCTAAGGGCCCAGGTGTGATTTTCCCAAAGCCCAGGAGATAGGAAAGTAGGCAGCTAACTGCAGGTAGTCCTCGACTTACAGTGATTTGTTTAGCGACTGCTTGAAGTTACAACAGACTGAAAAAAGTGACTTATGACCGTTTTTCACACTTATGACCGTTGCAGTTTCCCCATAGTCCCGTGATCAAAATTTGTACACTTAGCAACTGCTTCAGCTTTACGACGGTGGCAGTGTCCCTGGGGGGGGTTGTCATGTGATCCCCTTTTGCGACCTTCTGACAAGCAAGGTCGATGGGGGAAGCCAGAATCACAACAACCGTGTCCCTAACTAGACAACTGCAGTCATTCACTGAAAAACTGTGGCAATAAAGGTTGTAAAATGGGGCAAAATTTGCTTAACAACTGTCTCTCTTACCAACAGTAATTTTGGGCTCAGTTGAGGTCATAAGTCGAGGCCTGCCTGGGTTGAAATCCCTGCAAAGCAGGGCAGCTTATTGGCCTTCTGGATGCCCTTTGGCTAGGAAAAGGCCAGGTCAGGGCTGCCTTGGGTTGCCGCAGGGAGGTCCAGTGTGGGGGCTACGTGCCGCTGCACACACCTATGCGCCCCCATGCCTTTCCTCCTCCTCTCTGTACTCTTAGGGGTGACGCGAGAGCCTCACTGGTTCCCCGGACACCAGCCTGAGCTGGAGCCCCCTCCGATCAAGCCCACCGCTCGGTCGTGCTACATGATCGACTACGAGCCTCCGCACGGCAGGGCAGTCTGCTCTCTGGCCGAAGGAAAGCCCAAGGCAGCAGAGGAAACGCCGCTGAAGCAGTAGGCTGCTGCTCCAGGATCACCTGGGGGGGGGGAAATCTCTGCTGGGAGGTCTCCTCGCCCTACCACGAAGACTAGAAGTCCGCTTGCTGGGCGGAAGTTCCTAAAATAAAAGAAATGCATGCCAGGAGACCCTCCACACCTTTGTGTTTCCGTTCTGGTTCCTTCCTGGCTTTGTGTGGGGCTCTCTTAGCAGGTCCACCACTGGATTAAACCCTCGGTGCAGGACCGAGCCTTCGCTAAGGTTGAAATTGGCCTTGAAGACTGAGGGGGGAAGCTCCCACCTGTTTATTTGTTAGTAAAAAGTGCCTATCTTTGCACAGATAAATAAAGAAGAAAAACCAATTTGCCGTTTCTGTCCCAGGGAAAGGCTTTCTTCGGGCTGAAAAGGGCAGGCCTTCCAGGGGCCTCTATTTCCTTGGTCCTGGCAGGAGGGCCGATCTTTCTTCCCGCGTGACGGGGATGCTGCGCTGCGGAAGCTCCTTGAGTTTCCTTGGTCCGTTCACCGTCAGGATGCCGTCCGAAGAGAGGGAGGAGGTGATGGTGAGGGGGTCCACGTCGGCTGGGATTCTGTACTTCCTGCTGAACTCGCGGGCGACGGAGCCCTGCCTGTCCTTTGTGGGGGAAAGGCAGAAAAGGCAGTGCAGGGTCAGTAGGCGAGTTTGCTTGGTCTAGTGGTGAAAGTGCTGGTCTAGAAACTGGAAGACTGGGAGTTCTAGTCCCGCTTTGGGCATAAAAGCCAGCTGGGTGACTTTGGGGCCAGTCCCTCTCTCTCAGCCTAACCCATAGGTGGAGGAAGAAGGAGTATTACGTATGTTCGCTGCTTTGAATTACAAAGCAATAGAGGCAGGATATAAATCTAATGAATAAATAGATAAAATAAGCAGCATCTTGCAACTGAAAAGCTCTTGTGTTCAGCTTTCCAATTTATGTTTCTGGTTTAAGATCCATCCTCTCCCTGAGAACTGGGCAAGTCACCCCCAAACAGCCTGGCTGGTAACTGAGCTCGTGATTAACTTCATCTCTGGTTGCCTCTGATTTGAAATGGAAGAATAAGCCAATTAACATGCCCTGTTGCAGACATCGCTTTGTGATCCTCCCAGGTGCAGATATTGTGGCTGTGTGACCTCTCCGGAGTCACTTTGGAGAGTGAGATGGGTGACATACAAATTTAATCCCTTTCGCCTCCTGTTGCTGTGCCAAACGGGGTCATCCCTGAATAGACCAACCTGGCGCTCCTCATGCTTCCCCTGGACTTCAATCATGTCTCCCCAGACCTTGACCTTCAGCTCCTCGGGAGAAAAATGCTTCACGTCCAGGTTGATGGAAAACTGATCGTTGTCCAAACGCATCTGAGGACAAACCGATTGGGTTAGGAAAGAAGATTTCGTATTTAGCAAAGTCAGGAAATTCTAGACACAGAACCCTTCTGCGTGTGTGAGGCCTTGTAACAAGCTTTCAGTGAATTAATCCTAAGTTATGATAATAATAGCAGTAAGGGAAGAGAGGAGGCCAAAAATAAAAGATATGGGTCTTTGGACCCCTTGTAAAATTTGCAAAGGCATCTTGTGGAAGTTGCCATGAATCTCTCTCTCTATTCCCTCATTGGGTTGGTTTTTCAAATACGTTTAAGAAGATCAGTGCAAAAGGAGCAGATACATTCTGATGACATGAGAAACCTGGGTTTGCTTCACCTTTAGCTCAGTGTTTTTTGTGGCTTTGCATGATGTGTGAAGCCAGCATCTCTGGTTACTTGCATATTCATTCCCAAACCGAGAAAACGGTATCACTCACTTCCACGCTTTCTCCCCTCACCTGACCCGTTGCATTCCAGCCTTCCACTTCTTTAAATGTTCTTGTTTTTCTAATTTAACCTCCCCCTCTTTGATTTTTCATTTATCTTTCTGAGGTCTGGCTTACTGGTTTTCTTTCTTGATTTAAAACATTTATATAGCCGCCCATCTTTCAACCAAGCCTGGGTGGCTCCCAATCAAAAAACCTATAAAACCACAAGGAAACTCTAAAATTAAACCAATGGAAAAGATTAACACGATCTAAGATTGCAAGGAGCAAGCAAGGTAGGGCTTGTCTTTGGGGGAAAATATCCAGCCCTTTTAGAGCTGGTCCCATGGAAAGGAGCGATGCCTCTGCCGGCATCTGAACAAAAGGGACAGAAACGATGCCCATTTTGTGAAGAAGTGAATCCTTGGTGCAACGAGAGGGCCAGATTGCCAGCAGAGATGCTGGCTGGGAGGATGGGAATTGTGGGTCAACCTGTCTCAAAAGGAACCCCCGGATGAAGTGGCTTTTGCTATGGAGCCCCACACCCTCCCTCTGCTGCATGCAAACCTCACAAAGAAACGAATAACTGAGCAAAGGTTAACGACCTCCATGGTTTGAGACCAGGCTAGTTGAAGGACCTTCTCTTCCCAGTTACACCCACTGACCCACCAGAACACGGAAGCAAGAGATGTTATGGGTTGCCTCTCTTAAGGAGGTCCACCTGTTGGGACCAAGAAGAAGGGCCTCCTCCATGGGGGCTCCCTCCACGTGGAGCATCATCCCTGTGGAGATAAGACTGGCCCCTACTTTGTCGCTCTTTCGAAAAGCCCCAAAGACGCAGTTTTGCCAATATCCGGCCTGGGTACCTCGGAGGGATACGGAGTTCATCAAATGGTTGCTGTGATTATTGTCGCCAGCAGACTGGGCATTTATGGGGTTTCGTATTGGGGTTTTATCTTTGTAAACCGGCTGGAGTCAACATGAATGAGTTGGGTGGCTATATAATTTTTTTAAATGTAATAAATACATGAAAGGTCAGCAGGTGCACCCTGGCATGGGTGCAAGGGCAAGGGTTACCTCGGGAAGTCCGCTGTCCATCCATCCCGCGTTCCTGAAGGCGAAGGGCCTCGCCAGGAAGGAGCCCAGGGGCCAGCTGCCTGCAAAGAGTTCGGATTCCATGACGGGATCCCCAAAATGTTGGCCGAAGAGGCGGCTGGGCGAGACGCCGGGGAAGAGCCGTCTGCGGAAGAAGGGGTGGTGGATGGAGACGTCCATCTCCCCCAAGGAAGCGGCCGGTGGCAGTGCATGCCGGCGAGCCAAGCGCCTGGCTTTATATGCTCCCTGCTGCCAGGCGCTGCCCTGGCTAAAGCCTCCCGGCCCATGACGTCAGGGATCCCTGATCCTGCTTTTCTGCCCGCTCCAGCCGGCCATTGGCTGGGGGCTGGCAGAGGCGTCTCAGTGCCCGCATGGCGGATGGAAAAGAACACAGTGAAATTCTAGCTGGTCAGCAGAAACAGCTTCTCTTCCCCCTCCTGTCTCTGGAAAAGAAAAGAAAGAAGCTCTGCCAGCGTGATCCGCATTCCTGCTCCTTCGGCCGTGAATCCCGGCCTGACTATTTTTGTCTCGGAAAGAGTGCAGGGAAGCTGGCATCAGGCTGGCATCGGGTCATCCAGCCCACCGCAGCCTCCTTCTCTTGGGCCGAACTGTCGTGGGAAGGGACTCGGGGCCTGGCACCTCCCTCCCTGGGGGAGTGGAGCCATCTTGGCCAGATGAAAGGAAAGCCTGCCAAGGGTTGGCAGATGAGGTCACCACTGTGACACTTGAGGGTGATGGCCGCTGGGTTAGAGAGCTTAAGGGGGGGGGGGAAGGAAAAGGAAAGGAAGGGTATGGAGGATCACACTCCAAATATCTAACCTCCGTTGTGAATTCACGGCAAAAGGGTGAAAGGTAAACTGGTCTTGGGATATTGCAAAGACTTTTGATGGTAGTTAGAAGTTGGATTCAATGGATCCAAAACTGTTTCCTTCCTTCCTTCCTTCCTTCCTTTCTTTCTTTCTTCCTTCCTTCCTTCCTTCCTCCCTCCCTCCCTCCCTCCCCTTCCCTTCCATTTCTTCCTTCCTTTGCTATTTTCCTTCCTTCCTTCCTTCCTTCCTTCCTTCCTTCCTTCCTTCCTTCCTTCCTTCTTTCCTTTTCCCCTTCTTCTCTGACTACCTTTCTTCTTCTCCTTCCTTCCTTCTTCCCTCTTTCCTCCCCAAAGCCCCCCTCCTCTTGCAGACCCCTGGCCTCCCCAGAAGGCTTCGGACACAGCCTGGGTCATTTGTTCGGCTTTGGGGACAATGGAGCCAAATGTTTTTAATAGATGGTGAGATAGAAGAGATGAATCATTTTCCCCACTGGGTTAAATTTAAACGTCTTTGCTCAGGAGGGTGAGAGACTACACAAGGCTCCTGCCCATAGGTTGTGATAGCACCTCCAGCTGAGCATGCCATGAATGTGGTTCGAAGTTCCCCGTCTCTCTTTTGTTTCCTCCCCCCAACTGTGGGAAGGCGCAAGCACTGCCATGCGTTCACCGAGAGCTGAGAGTTTCTTCTAGTCAGATCTGGAGTTATCTTTGTTGAGTCTAAGCCCCCATCACAAGGACACCTCGACACAATTTCCAGACGGTGAGAAGAAGACAGCGAAATGAAGCTTCCTTTGTTGTCAGATGCTGGGGCACCCAAAACAATGTCCCCCCACTCTGCAGCTTCTCGAGTAATTAGTAGTTCTTGGAAATCAGATCATGAAGAAAGCTATGGGCGTAGAGAACCTGTCCATGATTACTTGGAAATATGGCCTGTTCCCGAGTGGATTCCTGTCTGGGGGTGCTTTCACACTCAACAGTGTCAGTTAACTCAAGGAACATCTGAGTAAGCCTGCATCCAGTCTCAGCAATAAAGGTGTCTATTTATATGCAACTGTGGTGTCAACAAACACATGCCGTGACTCTGGGAAAGGGTTGAGTGAACATTCAGCACAGTGTGGTTAGGTTTTGACTGTGAACATTTAAAAAAAAAACTTTATGCAGTGTAAGTTCTGAATTTACTTTTCAGGAGCCATTTGACATAAATAAAGGTATTGTGTATTGTTGAAAAATGTTGTGGCAATAATCCCCTAAGATTATTCCTAGCCACATAATACGTTTCCAGATGCCGTCACTGGCCGTCAGCTGTTGGCAGCAGTGAAGGTTTGCAACCTGATCTGCCAATGCAAATATAAAATGCCTTACGTAGTCCACCATATGAGTTTAAAAGCTGAGGTTTATGGGAGCTGTAGTTACTGAGGCCCTGAGGCCCAGGGTTGCACCAAACCTCAGAAACCTTGGAATCATCTTCCAGGATCAGCTGCAATCTGTCAAGAGGGAGAAACTGGATTTGTTTTTGTTCCATTGCTATATGCAGGGCTTTTTTTTGTCATAGAACGCTCAGAATGGAGTTCCTGCATCTTTTTTGGATGGAACCTTCCAAGAGGTTTGATGGGAATTCCTGCAGACAGACCATTCACAAAACAGAAAAGAAATACCATAAGACTCACTTCCATTGATGAACTGATTAAAACGGGGGCGGGGGGGCGGGGGGGAGGAATCTTGATGTCTGCTGAGAAGGGTTTTATCTTTCTAGATTCATTTTAGTCTAGCTGTTTTACCTATAAATTGGCTTTGGCAAATGTTTTGTATCTTGGGGAGAGGTAGAAGGCGAGAGAGATGTGTAACCTTTTTCCTGCCATCAGTTTTCTACTCCAAGTTGACCAGCAAAACTATTTTTGACAGATTTCAAAGCATTTATGGGGACAGGGATCTATAGCAACCAAGGGGAATGGTGAAGCTTCCTTTGAACTCAGGGTGATGTTTTTCAGAAGCTCAGAATTTGCAATTAGGAGCTGTAGATAGTAAGGAAGGTAAGCAAGCAATGCAGGAACCTTGACAAAAAAAGGGGCTGAAACATTTTTTTAATGTCCAGAGCAACAGGAAACATCCAGAAGCAGGTTAGACAGACCCCTGCCTGATTCAGCGACATATACTGCAAGGAGGAGGAAGAGGAGGGGATGGTGCAGCCCCATCAGCCTTATAAGTTTCTGCTATTATTGCCCCTCTCACTCAAAGTAGCTTTAGCTTCCTTGTGGAGTTGATTTCTTGATCCGATGACTGCGGCAGAATTCATTGGGAAGGAAGTCTCACCAATTGTGTTCATGCCACAGGCTAATTCCTAATTAGCAGTGAACTAATTGTATAAGGGTACACATTACACAACCCTCTACCAGACGTAACTATCGGATGCGCATAGTACCCAAGATTTAAATTGCCTGGCTAGTGTGGTTGTTCCATGTGTCGCGGGTGAGGAGCGCACGCTCTCTCTGGGGCTGTTCTGTGACAGCCAGGGCCAGATGCCACCGAAGGCGGCTGAGCGTCTGGTCTCTGGGGCAGAGGAAGTGGGGCAGAAGCAGGCGCTCTGCAGTGGCTTCAGGGGCAAGCAGACAAGCTGGCTCCACTCTCCAATTTCACTGTGTGCAAACAAGAGGCAATTGAAACCCCAAAAGATCTGCAGGGAGTTTCTGGTTTCTGAACATGGGTATCTGTTAAAACACACACAGGTTAAACATTGACATTAAATATGTTCCACATACAGGTAGATAATACGATCAAATTGTAATCAGTATAGATTTAAATGTATATATAATCCATTAGTTGGTTCATAACACTATCTGTACACACACATACACACCCCACAACTTTGCTTGTCAAATTTGGGTTGTTGTGCCAAAGCACAATTCCCTTGTGAGGCCACTGTTGTGGCTTTGCACAAAGCCATGATGGATTGGTGGTTGGGTTTTCTTTTCCCCGTTTCATGGTGTATTCAACCAGTTGTGGCGACGAGAGCCAGGGCTTCGGGCGATGGCCAAAGCCAGTCACCCTCTCTGCAGGGCTCCAGATGGCTGCACATCAGGGAAGCTCACTGTTGCACGCATCCCGGAGGTGAAGTCCAGCGCATTCAAGAAGCCCTACAGCCTTTTGATTGCAAGAGGCCAGGGAAGGAAGCAGCCCAGCCTGTGGGGGGATTGTCTGTCCCTCACCTCAAGTTGTGCATGAAAAATGGAGCTAATGTGTGAGAAACTATCTGAATGTTACACAAAGTAGATTCCATATACAATGTAAGATTCCATCTATGCTTCCTTTGTTCCTGAGAGAAAGAAACCTATAAAGCTTTAGTTTAGACCCTCCCCCTTGTTCAGAAATTTGTTGATTGTTCAATCACTTCTGAACCTTTTTGCGCAAAAATAAAGATCTCTCTTTCACCCATGGAATTTCGTAAAAGCCCTTTATTTTTTTAAGGCTTTATTTTTCCACAAGACCAAGTTGTGCATGAAAGCACCCAGGGATTTGCACACTTCTGCATGGTGAGAGTTCCCTAATTCAGCATCCTCCTCTTAACCACAGCAGTCTGGACAGTGGCCGCAGCAGCAGCAGCAGCCGTGATGCAACCAGCCAGGCAGCCTCTGCCTGATTCGAAACCCGTGCCTCTCAGGAGATCGCCTGGTTTTCCCCAAGATGTTGCTGGTCCCAAAGACTAGCAGCCCCCTGACCCGCAACATCAGAGGCCTCTCCCACCGTCTTCCAGTAGCCAGAAGATGCTCTCCTTGGGAGGGGGGGCTGCAGAGCCACAAGACTCCTGATCCTCTCTGGGGGCTCAGCGCAGCAGGGCCCGCCTGTCTATTTCGGTCCATCTTTTATCACTTCCTCCTCCCAGTGGAATTTGCTTTCCAAGTGTCCCAATTGGCCAACGAGCCGGCTGGCTACAGCTTTCCCAAGGAAGGCACTGAGGAGCGAGCACATCTAGACAGCTTTCTCATCATGGCTCAGCAGCACAGCCTGCCCCACGCCTACCCCATGAGCCCGGAATGCGAGTTTGCCAACCCCAGCAAGATTTACGACCAGAATTTTGGAGAAGGTAAAGGGGGCAGGGACAGCCCCTCCCCATCCTTCCAGACTGCAGGTTTCTGAGGATTCCAGCTCTGGGGTGGGGGGACCTTCCTGGAATAGTTAATCTGGGGTGCACCATCTCCACCCCCCCCCCATTCCAATGTGCTAAAAAGTGCATCATGAGCCTTTTGTGGCTGGAGCCCGATCTTTCCCAGGCCTTTGTTGTGTGGTTGTGTAAATGGAAAGAGGGAGATGATATTTGGACCAGCAACCCCCCCTTATGGAGACTTGGGAGATCCTGTATTTGGGAAGGAGGAACTTCCTGATCAGTTTTGGGTTTTGTTTTTTTCTTGGACGAAGCCCTGCTGAGCATCCTACCCACTGTCAATGCTGGGGGGGGGGGTAGAGAGGGACAATATGGGGGGGGTTACGGGAACACTTCATTCTGGGGGTCCCAGCCTTGTAAAGTAATTCAGTTTCATAGATGATTTGGGCACACTTACAGCTTCCTGCTTTCTCTCTAAAGTTTGTGATATTTTTATTGTGCTACTGGTTGTGTTTCATACACTCCTCAGATAGGGAAACCTATTCTCCCTGCCTCTCCCACCCCGAAGCTTTGCAAAGACAAGAAGAGTTTTTCCAAGGAAAAGCTTGGCTTTGCCTTGAATCTTAGAAGTCGGAAGGGTTCCCTTGGGGCCATCAAG